ATTTGGCCTCTTTGGAACTCGTAAGTAGGCCCATGTTGCTTGGAAAACTAAAATATCTGAGTTCTGGAGCACTAAAATAGCTTGTTGGTAAGGTGCACACTACCATACCCTTCAGCTGTCCTGTCAAATATAGGCGGAAAATAATAATAATCTTATTAAAATAGCTAAGTGCCGATTGTCTCTTGTAGCAATGACCCTAATGACTTACCATTGCAGCTGCAATTGTGATGTAGTCACTTCAAAGAAAACCCCCTTTTCATGTAGTGTTTCCTTTATTTTGTCCATCTCTATATATAACTATACATATGATAAGACCAAAAAAACACACCTGTAGCAAGAGCTCTTCATTGCAAGAGATCCTGAGGACCTATATACTTGGACCATTGCCCTCTTTATCCAAATGTATAACCTAAAAATACAGAAATACCAAAAAGTATTTCATTAAATTATGAAATATATATGTCAGTAACTCAATTGATTACCGGTACTTAATAGAGGCCTGATGATTAACTATAGACACTAAATGTGATAATAGTTCATTACCTGTTGTACTTCAGTAGTACCAAGTGATGGCCCCCCACCACAATTCCTGACAGGGCATAAAGCACAAATCAGTGTCCAATCACAATATATTGCCGACATCACACAACCTAACAAGCATTTAGATATCATGGGACCAATGCAAGTATGGACTGTACACGTTCCAATAACCACAAATGAGTAAGCCAAGTGTATACCAAATAATAAAATAAGCATCCAAGTGTTTAATAAGATGGTCTATGGTTCATTCATACACACACACACACACACATATACATATATATATATATAGCTTCTGGCTCTTTTTGTAAAGGACTGCTTTCATACTGAGGTTCAAGTGGCTGTAGTAAAAACACAGATTTCATATCAAAATACAACAGTTATTTGCTTAGTAAAAGAGGGCTGATGTTGGGTATTTTGACATAACCACTAACCAGCAATGACGATGCCTGCACTTACAAGGGTAATGAACATTGCCAAGTCAAAACCTAAAATGTGGCTGGACCTTGAAAGAAATTTGAGTGCTTCTTCTTTGAAATGGATACAGAAAATGGCACTCTTTAGCAAATAGAGAGATTATGATTTTTATACGTCAACTTTTTAAAAAGTTTATTCTTGAAAAGCCCATACCGGTTGACTTCTACTTAATACCAAATAAAGTATGACCCCAATTTTTTAAATTGCACTTACCAATGTGTCAGCTACATCAAACTCTGTTGATCTTTTTAATCACAATCTCAGAGTCCGAGTCAGACATGTCTGACAATTTCCAGAGTGAGCCTACTCAGAGTTGATTGAACTAATTATAATGTGCTATGCTGGAACTGAAAATTTAGTGTTCCATTTTGTTACGAGTCGAGAAATCCAAGAGGAAGACCCAGATGCAGAACTAAAAATTATTTAATTTAACAAAACTTCACTTTAGAAATCCAATCACAAGAAAACAAGTAGCCACGAGTAAACTGACAGATAAATAAGTCTCCCCTGTGCGCCTTGACCACAGTTGGAACGCGAAGCAGGAAGGTTAACATAAGCAACAAACAAACAATAAAAAAACAGATATCTCACTGAACCGACATAAACATATACCAGTATAGTAAGTCAAAATGGCGTTGCACTGGATACTGACTTACTCTCTTCAAAGTCCTTCTTTGTACAGATGAAAATGGTGATCCGTTGATATGGCTTTCCTAATTCTGCCTTGTATTCTTCAAGAGTAAATGGTCTCTGTGTCCCAGGGATATTTATGACTTCAGAGCCATCTGGATATAGAAGGACGAAGGGTCCTTCATCCAAATCTTTGTTGAAGTCCCTCATTTTTTTCACAACCTGATCAAGAAGAGTTGGGGCAGTGGTATCTGGGTCTGTTGATAGTGAAATGGTTTTCCCACGTTGTGGCTTAAAACCACCCTTTGTGATGACCATGAAGCCAACATTAATCTGCAAGAGAAAACACAGGGACTGGTAGGAAAAACTGTTTGAGGAGCAATGTTTAATCAAAAATGATTGTTTCTGCTATGAATTGCCTTGTTGCTGAAATCTGTAATATAAACTTGCCTTGCCTATGAGATTTCCAAATGTTACACACAAAATAGACCTTTATTAATTCCAAATGTCACTCAAAGCAGAGTGACCCAAGTCTTTACTTAAAAACCTTGTAAACAGCGGATTTGGAGAGTACTTCTGGAAAATATAACAATTATTGCTTGATCTGGGACAAATAATTGGTACTACACATGAAAGTCCACAGTGCACAAATGTTCATGATCAGAAATCAGTGAAAAACTAGCATACACAAATAAAAGCATTCAGTGTTGTTTCTGAGTGATCTGACCATAACACAGATTACTATTAGTATGTGTTTACATACAGTATATATACACATTATCAACATTTATAGATGTTTAGAGGACGGACATGATGGATGAATGTCAACAGTTGAGTTGAGGGTTAACAGTTGTTCAATCTCACTCTGAGCCATAACTAACTTACCTGAACTTTCCTTTTTCCCTTTTTCTTCGCCCCCATTTTCCCACAGGAAAACTTTTGCCTCTCCTCTGACTTTTTCTTTCGGTATTCCAGAAAGTTTGCTAAGGTTGGGGTCCGACTAGATGGAAGATTCTGTGATGCTACAGAGAAGCAAAATAAAAATGTGTAATAAATGTCACAACACGCTGACATGCATGATTGACAGCACTCTGTTTGATATACCTACAATAAGATTTCCATAGCTTTCACATTGACATACAATTGAACAGTTAGCTGGAAATGTCATTGTGACCAATGACAGTCATTGGTCACAATGACTGTGATTACGTGGACGTTGTGTTTCCTTGTTTTTACATGCACAAACACTTCAAAACCCGACCATAACCGGGGTACTCAAATCCATGTAAACGCAATAAATGTGTATTACAGGGATGTGATTGGCATGTGACAAAAAAGCAACAAACCGACTCACTAACTTGCTCAGTTAGACTGTGGACTCCACAAGCAACAAAAACATTATGTTTGTTAACTTACTTGAAGGTGGTCCGTTGGTGTCTTCAACATCGGGAAATTCTAGTAACCTCTTGTCACAATCACTGCAAAAGTTCGGCCGTACATTTCCTGTGAGCTCTTTGCCACAATTTGGACAATACATCATGAATTTTACTTTGGTGAGATTTCTCTGCCTGGCGCTAAAGGCGTGTGAAGCATTTACTTCCGGTTAAAAAGACGGACATTGCGTTCGTCCAATCAGCGACGATCTTTGTCGACTGCAGGTACCTACCTTTTCCGGTTTGAGTTAATGTCGTTGTGTTTTTTGATTTGTGTTTGTTTTTTGATTTGTGTTTGTGTTTTCTTATTTGTGTTTGTGTTTGTGTTTTTTGAGTTGTCGTTGTGTTTTCTTATTTGTCGTTGTGTTTTGCACTTCAGGGCCACCGTAGTATTCCCTGTTCCTTTTGTTCCTAAAGGAGAGAAAATCTTTGATGCAATGCTGTGTTTGAATCATCTGGTTGTGTCGGCTGAGCAATCACAGAGGATTTAGACATTGTTATACTCTGTGTAGACTCCTTATACCTGCACTACACCAGAAGTCAAATCCTCCTTTTTAAATGTATTTATAGTTCGGCAGCCATTATTCAACCCTCATGTACAAAGTATCAACAAATAATCACACTTGAAAACAAACATTGGTCACAAATTTGTAATAAAGTGACTCAAGAAACCGCTCGGGTGCCTTTCAAACATTAAACAGCTTCTTCAGGAATGACAATGATACATAGACATTTCTTTATTTAACTTCCCCACAGGCCTCACAAACACCCTCATCTGTCTCCAAAGACTCGGTGTTTCACTTTAGTGTACAATAGCTCTGCTTTAAACGATACAGACCCCGCGTTACAGGTCAGGCAGGAGTATAATTTATGTACAGGTGAAGGCCTCTGATAAGAGGAACGAGCTCGTAAACACAGCAGAACCGGCTTAAACAGGTTGGTACCATTCAGAGTTATACACAGAATAATAAAAGAGAAGAAGAAGTGAAGGGAACCAGCCGACTGCTGATGACTAAAAGTTTTCATCCAATCATATTTTCATGTGAAGAAGTCCTACTGTTCCAATCGCAGACATGACTTAAGTCTCTGCGCTCCTGATTTAACATGCAGTGTACGTTCTCTGTCATCCTCCAAACGCAGATATGTGCTTCATGTTTTCAAACCCACAACATACTCAGTAACACGTCTCTGCTCATCCTGACTGTGAACACATAACGGTGGAGTCATTTTAAGTTCTATCGATATCTGATCACCTACGAGCCCTCTCAGAAGGGTTCAGCTGCACCCCCGGCTCACTTTTTATTTATGTCTGTCAAACCATTCAACATTTCAACGGACATTAATCGTTTAACATCAACAATTAATCACGTTTTTTGGCCCTTCTTGTCTTCATTAGATTGTTACAGCTGAAGAGAGGCAGGAAACGTTGGGAGGTGAGAGAGGGGGGACGACATGCAGCAATAGGCTGAGGTCGGATTCGAACCGACAGCTGCTGCAACAAGGACTCTACAGCCTCTGTACATTGGGCGCACAACATAACTGCTAGGCTACTGGTGCCCTGATAAATGACAATTTTAATTGCATGTTTGGAATTCCATTATCTTGATTTTTTTTTTTTTAAATCAGCTTTTATTTTGAAATGTTCCACTGTCTTACGCTGAGAGTACTTTACTTGCTGTGTGCTTTTATTTTGAAATAAAGTCAGTACCTTCCGGTAGAGTGAAGGTTAGGACAAGAAGTGAAGCCCAGAAACAGGAAGTGGTTAGGGATCCCAAAGTGAGGTCAAACAGCTCAAAGGAACGGTAACAAAGGTCAATGTGTGATGTCATAAGGTGGATATTACTTTGGACTGGTCAGCTGAGCTGTCTGAGAGTTTGTTAAAGTGAAATGAGACATTCAAAGATGCAGCAGTGTTCTTCTTTTACATCACTGAGACTACAGGGAGACACTGAGGACGATCATCTACGGTGAGCATGAAGGGACAAAATAACATGAGATTAATCAAGATTAACTAGTTCAGCGCTGACGGCTCTAGTTTTGTCTTTTTAGATCAGAATGTAATTTTAACAGTTCGAATTTGATTCATCAAACAAAAAAACCTACAAATATATCAACAAGAGCAAACACATATAAACATATAAATATTCATACAAAATGCCTATTGGAAATACACAGTCTTAAAGACGTGGAGTAACCATAAGAGAGCTGCAGGGAGATGACGAGCGACCCGGAGTCCCACTGAGATGATCGTCTTCGGCCTCTGAGATGAAATACTTGAAATGAAATGTGATGGCTGAGTGTTGCTGCACTTCTTCTTCTACATTCAAGCAGTCCTCCAAAAGAAAGCTTTTCAACAAAGTTTGATAGTAAACACATGAAGAAATTAGGCCTGCATACATAAAGAAATTATATAATACATTTTTTTAAAAGTGCCGAATGTCACTTGCTACATTTATTTTTTGGTTCTTTTACATTCAGAACCGAACCATTAACACATTTGGGTGTTTTAAATAACAGAATGGATTTCTCTTAGTAATAGCTGTAAGCATGTTAAAGATCACACACACCAAAAGGCTCTGGTAGTCCATCTTTGTCGTGTGTAAGTCCATGAAATAAAGAGAAACCTGTTCCTCTGCTGAAGCAGGTGAGCTTAAACCTGGATTGTGTCTGAATCATGGTCTACTCTCGTCACCAGCTCCTCCAGGGAAGGAGCAGACAGGGAATCACTGTCTTTAAACATCGCCCGAGTTTATGCGTGCAGATCCAAGAGGGCTCTGTGTATTTCCTGGAAGGCGGGTCGTTCTTTGGCGTTCCTCCTCCAGCAGCTCAGCATGATCTTGTAGAGCGAGTCTGGACACAGCACAGGCTGAGGCAGGTAGATCTGCATGAAAGGGAAGCAGAGAATGAAGCCAGGGAGTCATAGATTCTTATACATGCATTAAAATGTTGTTAACAACACTCACCTGTCTTTTCTGGTCCCTGAAGAACTCCCCCGTGTTCTCTATCACCTGTTCGTCCGTCAGCTGGGAGTAAGGCTGCTCCTTGCAGAAGTTTAGAATCTCCCACAGGGTGACCCCGAAGGCCCACACGTCGCTAGCTGTGGTGAACTTACCCTGCCAAAGAAAACAGGGATAACATTTTGTAAAGACATGTACACGTTTACAACCTTGGAGGCCTTAACAGATATGTCTAAATGCTCGTTAAGAAAACATGAAGTTAAAGGCAGTGTTGGTAATTTCCTCCAGATCCACTTTTTAAGATTTAGGTTGAAATTGTTTTTAGGTCCTGACAGAAATTAATAACTCATGTTCTCTGAAAAAGGAACAAAGAAAATCTGTCATCTGTATCAGTAGTAAGTCTGTAAAAACTTTGACCAATGTCTGCCACGAGGTACCAATCTGATGAACCAATCAGACGCTTCCCTGTCTCCCTGCTCGTTCTCTACCCCTTGTGTGCACGAGCCCTCACTCAAAGCATGAACTGAGGTCCGCTTCTGGACCAATGGCGCTCATGCATGTAAGTGAGGGGCGTGGCTTTAGAGGGAGCACAGAGGGGAGGGGGAGGTTGCAGAGGGCGCACTGAGGGAATGCTACTTTCAAACTCATGCTAGTTTTCAAACATTACCAACCCTGCCTTTAAGGACAAAGTTCAAATCTTTTCTTAGTAGTGGTCTTACCAGCAGTATGCTCTCCCATGACATCCAGCGTATAGGCAGCACCGCTCGGCCTTGAATGCGGTAATAGTCCCCGCTGTAAAGGTTCCTGCTCATGCCGAAATCGGCGATCTTTATTGTGAAATTTTTGCCCACCAAGCAGTTCCGCGTGGCCAAGTCCCGATGCACGAAGTTCAGAGAGGAGAGGTACTTCATCCCCGATGCTATCTGAGCGGCCATGTAACACAGATTACTGAAGCTAGAAGAGAGAAAACAAAACAGTGTCATGTGCTTCAATAGAAAACAAACACAGACGTTGGGCGCCGGTAGCCTAGTGGGTAGTGCACACGCCCCATGGACAGAGTCTCTCTGGGCGGGATCGAGTCAAACTCCACACTGAGAGACTCCTGTCAGAAGAGGATTCAAACCAGGAACCTCCTCGCTGTGAGGGGACAGAGCTAACCACTTTGCAGCCCCAAATAAAAAAAGCTTAAAAAGACCCAAAATAAACATCAAATAACCAATGGTTATGCCAATGAAGCAGCCTCTCACTAGCTGTTTGGACACCACTCACCTGACCGTAGGAGCGTTGCTGAGCAGAGCGAGCTGCCCCTCAGGTTCATGGCGGGACAGGAACTGGTTGAGATCTCCGTTCTCCATGTACTCTGTGATCATACACAGAGGGTCGCTGTAGATACACACGGCCAGCAGGCGGATGATGTTGGGGTCCTTCAAACGGGACATGATCTTTATCTCTTTCAGGAAGTCATTCCTACCAAAATAAAAATAAGAAAAACAAATCTGGGTTACTTTTTTATTTGATGATTTTCTGTTTCAGATACAGGCTATAAAAGTCTTGCAGATCTCTCCGGGGTCATCGATACAGGTCGTCAGAAACTTTATATAAGGTGACAAAGCCAACGTGCTGACACATTTATGTACAAGTGTTGGCAATACCAATCTTGTTTTTTTGGAGCTAGCAATGAGTGTATTTTGACCACAGGTTGGATTCACATCTGTGTCCTTGACTTGTTGACATATTTAGGTTTAATCACAATGTAGCAACGCCCTGAAACATACTCAGCCATCTCATTAATTTGACTCTTAATAGAACGAACATTCTTCAATGAACACCACGCTGTTAAGAAGACATGAAACTATGAAATGAGACCATGAAATCAGATGGAAAATGCTAACTGAGTTATTAATGTAATGGCCAAGCAGGGATTTTTAAAAGAATCTATTTCCGTACAGGAGTCGCCCCTTTAAAGGCAGTTTGCACTGGCTTAAAGGTCCAATATTCTGTAAAGTCCTCTTCACCATGTTCATCTAACTCTAATATGTGTCCCTAGTCTGTCTACAAACCCCCCCAATGATGAGAAAAGTCCATCCTCTCCGTCTTCTGCCTGCTCCACTTTTCAGAAAATGTGTGCTCAAACAGGCCGTTTGGAGATTTTCCCTTCATGACATCACAAAGGGCAGTAACCCCTCCCCCAGGTGAGTGACACTCCCATAGCTAGGTGTTTGTTCTGCCCTCTGAGTCTGCCTTCTCACCGTAAACAATAGGACATGGAGCGAGAAAGACCGAGACACCCGAGCCCTTCCAGAGAGGGGGCGTGGTCAGACACAGCTCATTTACATATTTAAAGGTACAGACACAGAAACAGCCTGTTCTGAGCAGGGCTGAAATAGAGGGGTTTATAGACATGATCAAATACAGGATCAGAGTGGATTTAGAACTAGAAACTTCACACACATGTTTAGAGGAGCTCTGAGACTTATTTAAACTGAAGAGGAGGAGGAGGGTATGTGACCTTTAATTTTAAACACCAATAAGCTAATAATAAGTTCACTTGTTATACAGACTATGACGTCAGCCTACCTTGCATTTTTGTTGGCGTCTGAACGGAGCATCTTTACAGCCACTAAAACCAGCTGATCTTCAGGGATGTCAAATAAAAACTCTTGATTCATGAACTCCTGCATTCCCTCCGCCTCACACAGGTGCACCTGAGAAGACGGGAGATAAAGGTGAGCAAGACAAAATGTATCAAAAGAAGCATTTAGAAACAAAAGCTGGTCATTGTTTTTTACAGAGAGCATGAAGCATGTACCTCTCCAAACTGTCCCTCGCCCAGCTTCTCTTTAAATGTGAGTAGCTTTCTTGGGAACTCCTCCACGACCACGTCCTTCCCCGACAACAGGTCCATGGTGAGTGCAGGGATGGCATATGTGTTGCTTCCAGTCACGCCCTGCAGGTTAACAATATCTGCCTCTGCGTAGTGAGGGACGCCATCTTGAATTACAGTAGCTGCTGTGCTGGTAGAAGCTTAAACACAACACAGGAAACTGTTAGTAGGAATCTCTGTTAGACAGTGTTGATAATTCGTATTAGGGTTGTGAGTATGTAAGTAGATCTGTCCTAAACCTACCGGGCTCCTCAGAGCTCTGAGCAAACTCGGGCAGCTTACATATGAGGCGTGACGGCTCCTGGTAGTCGGGACCCAGAGGAAAAATGCGCTCATATGTGGAGCTAGACTCCTGCTCGCTGGTTGTACTCGACTGGTTGTGGTTGTAGGCAAACGTCTCACTCTGTATTGACAAACTGGCAGTTAGTTCATCGTCCAGCATCCGGCGAGAGGCCTAGAATGAAGGACGTGGGGAGGGGGGGTCAAGGAACAGATTCCATCACCCTTCAAATCAAGACTGAGGAATCTCAATGGAAACTCGAAAACGTCACTGAACATCAGTGAGGGTCTCACCTTCTCCAACATCTTCTGCCACACCTGCCTCCACAAGATGATGACAATGATGGCCACCAGGATGAAGATGATGGCCACCAAACAACCGATCAGAATCCGGGTGTTGCTGTCGTCTACTTTGTGGGTTGGGTCTTCCTCTGGGGATGAAATACAGACAGACACAGTTTTGAAGGCGCAATATGTAACTGAGTCGGTCCTGACCTCTAACTGAGTTGGCCCTGACCCTCTAACTGAGTCGGCCCTGACCCTCTAACTGAGTCAGTCCTGACCCTCTAACTGAGTCGGCCCTGACCCTCTAACTGAGTCGGCCCTGACCCTCTAACTGAGTCGGCCCTGACCCTCTAATTGAGTCTGTCCTGACCCTCTAACTGAGTCGGCCCTGACCCTCTAACTGAGTCGGCCCTGACCCTCTTACTGAATCAGTCCTAACCCTCTAACTGAGTCGGTCCTCCTGACCCTCTTACTGAATCAGTCCTGACCCTCTAACTGAGTCAGTCCTCCTGACCCTCTTACTGAATCAGTCCTGACCCTCTAACTGAGTCAGTCCTCCTGACCCTCTTACTGAGTCGGTCCTGACCCTCTAACTGAGTCCATCTGGGGTTTAAAATCCTCGTAACTCCTTCGACCTGCTTCATTGTTCCGCGTTCACACTTTATGTTATATCACTGTTGTCTATCTGCAGGTGTATCATCATTTAGTGGTCATGTTTTCAAACTGTCTTGCTGCAGAAAGATTTGTGTTTTGTTTTCTGATGACATCACATCATTGCATATGTTCAGCTGCATGTTGGCATGTTGTTAATTTTCCAAAGCTCCTGTAAGGAGTTTTCCCCTGGTAATGAAACGGACTGAAATAAATCCTGGACCTACAAAAGCCAAGGACACCATGATGAGGAATTGATTTTTGTTTCTCTTCAGTAATTGTATATGTACAGCGCCCCTGCTGCAGGTGTCAGAAGAGGTCATCCTTAACAGCACGCTGCAGAAACAACCTTTTTAAAATTCACAGGACAAAATCCTGCAAAGAGGTTTGTGTGTGGAAACTCAGGGCAGTGTGTGTGTGTGTGTGTGTGTGTGTGTGTGTGTGTGTGTGTGTGTGTGTGTGTGTGTGTGTGTGTGTGTGTGTGTGTGTGTGTGTGTGTGTGTGTGTGTGTGTGTGTGTGTGTGTGTGTGTGTGTGTGTGTGTGTGTGTGTGTGTGTGTGTGTGTGTGTGTGTGTGTGTGTGTGTGTTTGTGTGTGTCAGTCTGTGTGTGTGTGTTTGTGTGTGCGTGCTGTTCCTCACTGACCTGGTGGTATGTTTGGTGGGAGACCCGTCTTGGGCGGAGCCAGTGTTGTGTTGTACATGGCTGTGTCTGAAAGGTCAGAGGTCACAGAGATGATTAGAACTGCTCATTTGGAAAAACCTTCTTTAGTATAAACTTTTTGGTGTAAGTCAAAAGAAATATAACTTTGCAGCCCCTCAATCTCTTAATGAAACACAGAACAACACATCCAAATATCTGCAGAAGTCAATAAACCTTTAAAACTTTATAAATCTGTTAAACATCTTACTGGAGTTATAAACTAAACCCAGAGCCTCTACCTGACTGAAAGGTGATCTCGCTGAACAACATCCAGGCGTCAGCAAAGTAGAACTGGCACTTGATAGCACTGGCCATGTGATTGGCTAGGTTGACGGTGACAAAGCGGGCGCTGGGATTCTTCTCATCCACCACGGGGCTGAAGGAAAGGGGCGTGGACTCCCAGTCGGATTCAGAGCGGAAATAACATGTGACCTGACGGAAGGCCTTGATGTGCCTGGAGAACATGTTGTTGCAGTGGACCTGGATGGGGATAAAGGGGAACGTTGGGATGCTGTCTGTAGTGATGAGATAATATATTTGTTTTCTCAGAAGCCTTACCTTCATGGTGGTAAAGTTCCTCGTGCGGTCAAACTCGAACATGATTTCAACAAAACCATTTGGGAAGCTCTCGTTGTTCCAGCCCACATAGTCGTACCCCGGCCACACGTTGTAGACATGACTGTGTGTGAAATCATCCAGACCACACACTCCGTCAGTCAGCTGGCCCAGGCCTTCTGTCATGCTGAGAAACAAAAAAAAAAGAAAGTGAAGAAGAGGCCGAGGACGTCTTCCTGACGCTCTTCCATTTAAAGGATTTTTACAGTATGAACTTTGACCACTAGGTGGTAGCATTATAAAACCAACATCTCACTTCTTCTTCTGGCCACCTGACTGTAATAAAGGCCATTTTCTTTTCCCTCTGTTTCCAAGACAGAGAAGGAAGCACGAGTGTGTCATGGAGGACATTATTCACAATGCCATAATCCAAACACTGCTATCAACACTCTGATTGGTTAACTCCACTTTTTAGCAGGATTGACTCAGTCGCTCCCATGAGCTGTTGCCTAACAGTAAAACCACCACGGCCCACTCATAAGTTCCGTCTCTTTGCTGTCACCGTGGCGACCATACAGGCAATAACAATGACTGAGAAAAGGAGGAGAACAATGATGACGCAGTGTGTTTGTGTGTGTGTGCAACAGAAAGGAGAAGAGGGGATCATAGTAAACCAGACAAACCTGTGGATGACGGCGCCGTCATAGACAGAGTCGTTAACGTAAACAGGGTGAGAGAGCAGATTCATCTGTTCTCCTGCTGGAGCATTATATGAAACAAGACCGTCTGCAAAAGGAAAGAACGTGATCCTGTTTATTTAATCACTCAATCACTCCCAAACACATGCTGTGCACAGAGCTTAACTTGTGGTAGACATTTTAAGATTACTAAAGCTACAAAAATGCTAAATGGACTTGAGACTTGTTTATTTATTTTCTGGTCTTCTGACAACTCAAAGTGCGTTAGTGGGCGGCTGTGGGTCAAGGGTTCGATCCCCAGCTTCTGCAGCGACATGTCCGATGTGTCCTTGGGCAAGACACTTAACCCTGAATTGCTCCCACTGCTTCAGTGGCGGTGTATGAATGGATTTGTTACTTCTGATGGATGATACTACATAGTGATCTCTACCATCAGTGTGTGAATGTGTAGGTGTGACATGCAGTGTAAAAGCGCTTTGAGTAGTCAGAAGACTAGAAAATAGTTTGGATTGACTGAGGGCCCAAAGTGCAAAAACGGCACGTGTGTAAAAGTTAAATTTGAGACTATGAGCACAAATTAACATTAAATATAAAGTCAGCGTTGTGCACATGATTCCCTTTGTTCAAATCATCAGCTGATCTTTGTTTTGTTTTCATCTTCATTGGTTCTTTGGCTCCGCTGTGCTCCACTTCCTCACCCCCCCCCCCCCCCTTAGCCGTCTCTTACCCAGCCACTCACAGCCGTAGAGCTCCACTCTCATGCAGACATTCATGGAGTGGTCAGTGACCGGCATGAAGCGGACGAAGCGTGCGATGATCGGCGGTTCCAGGTCCTTCAGTACAATGTCGTAGGCGTTTCTGTTTCCTTCAATCACCTGCAGGTAAAACAAACGCACCCTGACCCTGTGAGTGAGTTCAACTTTGATTTACAACCAGCATGATAACAAAGTCATGGCCTTCCAATATCATTTTTAGATAATAAGAATAAATAGACAGCGATATCTCTTTAATGTCGATAAACAGCTGAGAGGGCATAATTCAGGACGATGAGAATCAGCAGTTTGTTAGCGATCAGTTTCTTCATCTTGTGGAGGTTGACTTACCTGCTTGCCCTGCCTGTTCCTCCATGAGATCCAGCGGCTTCCATCACGGCTGTATTTGATCTTGTACATCTGGGCGAACTCGTTGCCGATGCCCCCTGCGTGACGGCCCTGCGTGCCAACAAGAGTGATGAAGTGGAGCGAGCGCAGGTCAATCTGCAGAAACTCCTTCAGACTGTCTGGCTCCACCGTTATCTCTGGACACCACGCGCCGTCCCCTTCCTCAAAATCCAACCTGGAGGAGACAGAGAGAGGGGGGGGGGAGACAGAGGGGTAGACAGAGAGAGAAGGGGGAGAGGAGAGAGTGAGGGGGGAGAGGGGAGAGAGAGAGAGAGATAGACAGAGGGAAAGACAGAGAGAGAGAGGGAGGGGGAGAGAGAGAGAGAGAGAGAGAGAGAGGTAAAGTAGGTAAAAAAAACAGAAGGTGGATTTTCTTATAAGAATTAAAGCAGGAAAGGGAAAGGACAAGGGAGAAGGCAAAGCAAGACTGAAAACACAGCTAGGACCGAGAGGAAAAGTGGGCACACACTTTTGCCACACTTTTGTGTGTGCGTGTGTGCGTGTGTGCGTGTGTGCGTGTGTGCGTGTGTGCGTGTGTGTGTGTGCGTGTGTGCGCGTGTTTGTGTTTGTGTGTGTGTGTGTGTGTGTGTGTGTGTGTGTGTGTGTGTGTGTGTGTGTGTGTGTGTGTGTGCGTGTGTGTGTGTATGGTTGTTCATCCTGCAAGGTGCCTGTACTGGCTTATTTGCAGTGAACCACAAACTGGGGTATCAGTTCTACTCACGGCCGCATGGTTAAGGAAGCATGTGTGTGAGTGTGTGTGTGTGTGTGTGTGTGTGTGTGTGTGAGTGTGTGTGTGTGTGTGTGTGTGTGTGTGTGTGTGTGTGTGTGTGTGTGTGTGTGTGTGTGTGTGTGTGTGTGTGTGTGTGTGTGTGTGTGTGTGTATAATGTACCTGCCATATCTAGCAGCTGTGGATTCAGACCACTGGCTGGAGGCAGAGATGTCCTCGTCCTGTATCTGACCTCCTGACATGCCCAGAGGATACCGACACACACCTGAGACGGGACGACATGTTTCATAAGAAGACGAGAAGAAACCAGCATGAAGGTCAAAAGATAACTCAACTTTATTTGTGCCTGAAGGGTGATTGGTTTTGCCGAGGTTAAAACTGAAAGAGGTGCTGAATGGAGTGGCCTCTGAGAACAATGATGCTTAACTGACACTCTTAGCAGCTGCTATTAGAAGTGCTGAGTCAACATGAAATATAAACCAGTCCCTGATATTCATCAAATCAAGTCCAAAACATACAGTACAGAACCACAATAATGTTAGACTTCATACATACAAGAGAGTTACTGCTGACAATGTTTCCGACAGAAACGGACTGCTGAGTAAAGAGTCCATCAGTATTAACTCATCCATTCATACACATTCACACACTGATGGTAGAGGCTGCTGTTTAAAGAGTCCGTCAGTATTAACTTATCCATTCATACACTGATGGTAGAGGCTGCTGTGTAAAGAGTCCATCAGTATTAACTCATCCATTCATAAACATTCACACTCTGATGGTAGAGGCTGCTGAGTAAAGAGAGTATCAGTATTAACTCATCCATTCATACACATTCACACACCGCTGACAAAGCAGCAGGAGAAACTTGGGGTTAAGTGTCTTGCCAAAGGACACATCGGACATGTGGCTGCAGGAGCTGGGTATTGAACCCTGACCTTTCAGTCAGGAGATGTACGACTCTACCACAGCCGCCTGGTTCAGCTCCCCTCCCTTCTCTCAGACCAACCACAGTGCCGCTGGTTGGCGTTGTAAATTCAAACATTGACCAGACGCCCTCAGAGTGAAACGCCTTAATTCTGCGCTTCTGTCGGAGGAGTAGAAGAATATGAAGGACAGCTCTGGATGAGGGGATGTGAAGAGACTGCACACAAACATATGCATACACGCACACACATGTAGGCCACTACACACCCCTCTCCCTAAAACTGTGGTTGCTCTATTGAAATAATAAGCTCGATAGATTCAGCGTCTCTGCCAGAGCAAACAGTGTTGGTATCAAGCTCATGTGTAGCGTTAGGCACTGTGTGTGTGTGTGTGTGTGTGTGTGTGTGTGTGTGTGTGTGTGTGTGTGTGTGTGTGTGTGTGTGTGTGTGTGTGTGCGTGCGTGTGGCCACTCTGTCTGGTTTGAGGCTATCACGGCCCCACAGTGCGGTCAATAGGAGTAATATGACCCTCTGTTTCCTGCATGCCCCTCCTCATTTGTGTCTGTCTCCGCTCTGTCCTCCTCTCGCTCCTGTGTGGTCCTCCTGACCCGCTCTCTCTTCTCCCGCCTCTTTAGTGGTAGGAGGCGTTTTAAGTTAACTGTGTGATTCAGAAAATCTTCAATTCATTAAGTCTCAGCAGGCCGACTGAGCGTGACACACAGCCAACATGCTCTCTGACTGCATGTGTTTCCTCCTGGGTGTTTCCAGGTTGGGTTGAGCTTGTGTTTGGGACATACATCGATAACTCCACCTAACAGGATATGACCGCTACTTAGCCTCGAGAGAAAGAGCCTTTGGAAGAACTTGTGATAGCCTTTGGGTCACTGTTTTCACTCGCGCCGAGGCGGAAGTTAAAAGGGAGTCTGACCCTGTTGGCCTCAAAACCCCTTTGAGAAGCTGCCAGAAACAGCATGCAGCGCTCCAGGTTCAACGCCTTTTCTGTCCCTCTCTCGCTCATTCTGTCTCTCTGTTTCACCCTCTTCCTCTTTTCCTGATCTCCTCCTAACATTTGTGTTAAAGTCGAGATGTGGAGACTCCTGATGACCTGATACAGCACTCATAAGTCTCCACACATGTAACAACACACTCGTGCAGGATTCGTCATGGCAGTGACATGTTGACCACTCAAACTAAAACTCTCAAAATGTCTTTATCATTCCCTTGTTTCCTCTCCTTTGAGCCTTTCCCTTTTATTTATTTCTGCCTTCATTCCTTTAGCACCCATCATTCATCCACCCCCCTCCCCTCCCCCTTCTCTCCTCACACCAGGTCGTCTCGGCTTCATTCAGACCACATCAACAACAAAAAGTAATCTCCCTCTCCTCATATTCTCAACATATTAAGAGTGTCCTTGGCTGCATAATTAAAAAAAACATTTTAAGGAAAGTTGCGGTGTTCAACTGCAAAACAACCTCCAGAGAAACAGCTGACGTCTACAATGATTCAAATCACACAGGGAAAGAGACGTTGTTTGACAAAAAAAGGCCTGACTTTTCTTTTAAATGGGGTTCTCCATCTGGGGTACTGACTAATGCAAGGTTGGCATGATGTTTGTGGGCACACGCACCCTTTACCCTTTCTATCCCCACTAATGGTAAATGGTAAATGGACTTGAGCTTATAAAGTGCTTTTCTAGTCTTCCAACTACTTAAAGTGCTTTTACACTGCATGTCACATCCACACATTCACTTTCACACACTGATGGTAGTGATGGTCACTATGTAGTATCATCCATCAGAAGTAACTAATCCCATTCATACACCACCACTGAAGCAGCAGGAGCAATTCAGGTTTAAGTGTCTTGCCCAAGGACACATCGGACATGTTGCCCAGCTGGGGATCAAACCCATGACCTTCTGGTTGAGATGCAACGACTCTACCAACTGAGCCACAGCCTGCCCTAATGATGAGCTGTCCTTTTAAGAAACACAATTTGGCAACATAAATCGTCTTAGTTTTATTCTTTAGGGACCCAAAACAAAGATGTTTGTGCGAAGTCACAATAAAGTTCATTCAAAGTTTCATGAAGGAGTAACACACCAAACCCTCTCTCTCTCTCTCACCTCTTGGTTTTTCACCGTACTGAGGCTACTGAAAGGCAGGTTTGTTCTGTCCTGTTTGCTTCCTGACCGCTGCTCAAAATAAGGTCACACACACACACGCACACACGCACGCACACACACACACACACACACACACACACACACACACACACACACACACACACACACTTAGTACCTGTCGGTTGATGGTTATTCTGGTTTCACTGCTTTTAAATTACTTTCTGCTTTATTTTATTATGGGGAAAGACCATGTTTCAAGTCAAAGTTACAGAGTTTCACCTCAAAGTCCACACGAGTCGCTCACTGTGATAAATTTTTATTCACAATGATTGAATTCTCTGTGTTTTCTCTCAAAGACGTTACTCAAAATGTCTAACTCACAGAGATTTATCATCTCACTCAGCGGTCCTGCTGCAGGTTTTTTTTTTAAAGCATATTTAAGATTATTAAACTCCGTGCAGTGCCTCTGTTTCATGTTTTGTTTTGAGTTGTGGTAAAGTGTACAATCCTGCAGTTCCTGGAGTGTCCACTAGAGTCTGGCTGCAGAAGCACAGGAAGTCACATACACACCCATTCTAAAAGGCCTGTTTTTACAGCAGAGATTAACATGTTTACAGCCTGGTTCAAAAAACCAAATAGGTGTGATTAGCTCATGTCTCAATGGACACACTGTACGGGGGGTGAATGTTTTGATGACTCATCAGTTTTGATTTGATGAAGGATAAGAGTTATTCACAATAAGGCGTGTAGTTGACCTGATTGACAGGCGGGCGCGGTGTAACAGTTTGTCAGGAGGTTTAAAACCCGCCTCAGCTCCAGCTCTCAGCCTGTCGTTAGGTTGACTGAAAGTTAGACTGAGACAGCATTTCCAGCATGGAGACCGCCATCGATGGGACTCCAGCGCCCCCTGCAGGAACAGACGGGTGACGTCACTCAGGCTTCGTCAGTTAATATTTACACTGTATGGTGTCATCTTGCTCTGCTGCCCCCTGGTGGTCATACATACGAACATAAAGACAGTCAGCTGATCCAAAGTGGGATCACCTAAATATGCACGCCATGATTAACAAATATAACGCTAGCAAACTGATTAAGTAAAGAAAACAGCCACATCAATCCAATCAACTGCTGAAGAAATCAAACCTTTGTTTTATAAAGATGGTTTCTTCTTTCTCTTCAGTTATCACAGTGATGTGTGATTCTGATGCAGAGACAAAGCTCTAATGCGTTTATTCCTCTGAGGTTTGTAGCAGAGTCCTTCACAATAAAAGCGCTTCTTGATATTTGGCTGCTCTGCCCAGCCTTTGCTCAGGTCCACGCCTCCTCCCCCTCCACTGTGAAATGAAGTTCGCCCACTCACATGCAAAATGGGAAAGACAGGGATGGTTTAACTCTACTGCTTGGGAATTTTAAACAGGGGAAAGTTGGCATCACTCAACATCTCGGCTATGAATATTTCCAGACTGTGGAAAAATGATTCTCTTCTCGACGCAGCAGACCGAAAGCATTAGGCAGAATTATCGGTGGATATATCCTGCTTCCATATATCAGCACAGGTTGAGATCAGAGATCTTATTGACACTTGAGGCGAGGGGTTTTCAAGTGGAGAATCCCAGGAGTCAGGTTGGAGATGCGAAATGTCTTGCATGCTGAACGTGTTGAACTTTGACCCTGATCAGATGCACAAACAATCCTTGAACGAGTGGTTTAATACTGGTCAAAGCACACAGACTCAAAAACACGCACAAGGGCCGGGAAGGAGGACAGAGCCAATTCGAATGGACTTTCCTGCTGTCAGAATGTCTGGTATGCATTAGCCACAGACTCCAGTGGGATAGCTGGATCCACACACACACACACACACATGCACACACCCACACTCACAGAAACACAGAGAGGAACAGAGACGGGCGAAGGAAGTCACTCCTCCAAATGTCAGACACTGACATTCAGATTGTCGTTGGGAAGATGCTTCAATAAAATGACCACAGTCCAAATGTTTGTCACTCGATGCTGAAAGCTGAGATCAGATGTAACGTTCACATACAGGTAAAAAGGTTATTTGTAGATACGTTTACCTTTAGTAAAAAGAAGTGGATAAAAGTGACCACAGCCATTATAAACACTCTCTGTGATCTCTATCTCTCGTTTTTTAACCCTTTTTGCTTGTTAAACTCTGCTCTCTTTTTTTCTGTTAGCTTTGGTACAAAGATCAGACGAGTGACAAACTGGGAAAGTCGAGTTGTGCGTGTGTGTCATTGTGTATTTGTTCGGTCAGTGTAGCTCAGTCGGTAAAACAAAGTTTCTAAAATGTCGACATGTGGGGAAAAGGCTCTCTACAAGACTATTGTGAGATGAATTGAGAACTCAAAAGGTCAACTTGTTTTTTCTTCTTTGTTTATTTGTTTCAAACACGTCATTTTTGTGGTTTTTCTTCTGCACTGTTGGCTAATCCAGAAAACCCCACAGGCCTGTCACTGGGGCCTTATGTGTGCCAAACGGATTTAGTTATTACAGTCCATGTAAAGTGCTTTTGTTTTTAAAGGCAAATACATGAGTAATCTGTGCTTCTTATTTTATTCATATTTAAGATATGTACACCTGAACTGAAGCAGATTCTAACATCTAGAAAGCGCTGCTGTTAGTTTTTGTGCTAAAAAATAAAAAAACTTCCCTTGACATTACTCTCAGAGGCTCTGCTTATCAACAGGCAAGGCAGACAACATGTTTAGGGCCCAAGGCTCAGAGCTCCTCAAAACATTTGTTCTTGTTCTAAATCCACTCTGATCCTGTATTTGATCATGCCTATAAACCCCTCTATTTCAGCCCTGCTCAGAACAGGCTGTTTCTGTGTCTGTACCTTTAAATATGTAAATGAGCTGTGTCTGTCCCCCTCTCTGGAAGGGCTTGGGTGTACTCGGTCTTTCTCGCTCCATGTCCTATGGTTTACGGTGAGAAGGCAGACTCAGAGGTTCAGAACAAACACCTAGCTGTGGGAGTGTCACCCACCTGGGGGAGGGGCTAGTGCCCTTTGTGATGTCATGAAGGGAAAATCTCCAAACGGCCTGTTTTCTGAAAAGTGGAGCAGGCAGAAGACGGAGAGGATGGACTTTTCTCATCATTGGGGGGATTGTAGACAGACTAAAGACACATGTTAGAGTTAGAGGAACATGGTGAAGTAAATTTAACAGAATATGTGACCTTTAAACCAAATTTTGTATTGACAGTAGGAAACCTCCCTAAGGGGGGCCCCCATCTGACAGCAGTCACTCTCGTTCTGTTAAGTGTTGCATGCTGCATTACCTCTGTGAAAACCAAAGTTTGTCTAGGTGTCGGTAGCCTAGTGGTCAGTGCGCGAGCCCCATGTACAGAGGCTATTATCCTCTAGAGTGGGCGGCCCAGGTTCAAATCCCTCTCTCTCTCTCCCATGGTTTCTGACTCTGTCCACTCTATTCTATCTCTAACAAAAAGCCATAAAAAGCCCAAAATCAATCTCTAAAAAAACCTAGTCAATGAAAGTCCCTGAAGGAGAACAAAGAGGACTTATCTCTCTGGGAGTGAAAACAGAAAGAGGAAGAAAAAGGAAGAGGTAAGCCTCGGGACACGGCAGACAAGATGCTGATGAACACCCCCAATGACTCCAATGGGGTCCTAATGGAGTCTAGAATCGCTGCTGTTTATTTTTAGACACCTTCAAAATGAAAAACTTCACAGACATCTCACAGAGTAGCACATTTTGTAAGAACTTTTATTTTGAAGGTGGAGGCTGGGTTGGGTTAAAGTGGGAGGATGTGGAAGTGATGGGGCATTTTTTCCGATGTTGTTTCTTTTTTTTTAGATTTCGCTCAGCACAGTGAGGTCATCGTGACCTGTACATGTAAACTCTGTGTTTAATCCCCTCTCACTAAACCATGATCACCATCTTCATGTGAGCACAGGTCCACCATTATCCTTTCAACGATAAAGAAAACGACTCAGCTTGGATGACACAGATTTGGGAGTGAGGTCATAAACAAGTCGCCACTTTCAGGTTTTTGTTGGCAAATATTGACTTTTTCTCTACATCTTCAACAATAACCAGAAACCCTTTGACTCTGTCCCTACTGTTGGGCCTCAGCCATGCGTGTGCAACAAAGGACTCAGGCCTGTATCACAGTTCTCAAGCCTGACTAGAGAATTTTGTAGGGAACTAAACAAAGGGGTTTTAGCCCAGCAACCCCCCAACAGAAACTAACAAATAGGTGTGAAAAGTGGGGGGGTGGGGGGTGTCTGAATTCTCTATCCTCATTGGAGGAGGCCTGAGGTAAACCCACAGGCAGCTCCAGTCTTTAAAAGCAATCATCAGGCATTGCTTCCTTCTCTTCAAGTGTGGTCTGCCGACACCAGAGGATACCCTCTCCATATGATGGACTCCAGCATTCGAGACAAACCCTTTCCTGCTCTTCAAGTGTTGTCTGCTGACACCAGAGGATACCCTCTCCAACAAGATGGACTCCATCATTCGAGACAAAGCCTTTCCTCCTCTTGGCTTACATAGGCTAAACTCCAGAGCTGAGGTTGCTCAGTATAGGTAGCTCTTCACACGCTGAATTCAAGCATCAGAGGATTCAGCTGACTACTTCCACAGCATATTTTTAGGAGTTTTGGGCCCAATCAGATGCTATCAGGTTCGAGCAAAAAGAAGAGTTCTGTCCTTTGATTTTTCGTAAGACGTCATTGAACGCAACTGGACAGGAGCGCTGAAGGAAGCCCACTGATCCCTGAATCCACAAGGACACATAAAGAACTCGGCTCCTGCAACCGGAAGACCCTATAGAGCAGCGCTCTGGTCGAAGATCTGAATCCTGCTACCCTCCTCCTACATCTCCCACGAAGGAAACCTGCCTGAATCTGTTGATTTAACATTCAACAGAGTGACAATCTAACCAACTTTGCAACGATCACCAGGAGTTAACCCAAGTAAGAGCTTTGGTCTGGGCAGAAATAGTTCTGTTTCTTTTATAACCACTGATAATTATGCACCAATGTTGACGACACGTCACATTCTGTATATTATCTGTTGTAAGCTACTGCATTTGTTTTATTGTAATGAACCGCTGTGTTCGCCTATGTATGTAATGCTATGCTAGTTTACCTCCAGTCAACGGCTTTCACAATCAGAAAGACCAGTGTACCTGCCATTGAATCAAAGTCCGGCCACTGGCTTTCTGGTGTTTAAGTCACAGTTACTGAACTCAGCTCAGAGAGCTCAAACTATTTCAAAAGGTAGCCACACAGCTTCCTTTGTTGTTCACCATTTTGTCACCATGTGGCTTCGTCACATGGTGCATTGTCTCTCCACCATCTTGCTCTCTCTCTCTCTCTCTCTCTCTCTCTCTCTCTCTCTCATCTACATACACACTCATCTACACACACACACACACACACACATTTACACCTCATCCACAAGCCTTGCTTAATAATGTTTGTTGCTTAGGTTAGTTTATGATAGTGATTTGTTTGATTAAGTTCATTGATTTTGGATTGATGTTGCTTTGTTTAAATAAATTCTGTTATAATTTAAGAGAGCAGCTGTTTGTGGTTACTGGTGTATTTACATTGTGATATAAGCTGGGTGCAAGGCTTTGTGTACGGATTTCATGCCTTCAATTTATTAAATATAGTTATTCATTATTAATAATATTAGTAATTAAATAACTAATTTGAGACTGATTTGAGTGATATTTTGGTTATATTTACCTGATTACAGGTTGGTGCCCCAAAACGAGATTAAACATAGTTTAATGATATTTTATTTATATTATTAACAATTAAGTATAATTATTAAAGAATATAAACAAAGTTGACTTGATACAACCCCAACACTACTAACCAAATGTTGCTACTCTCTTTCCTTGTTAAAAAAAATGATTGGTCCATTTTCTTTGACATCACTAAAAACCATCCAAACAGCAGAGAGCTGTGTGTCTGTGCGCCGGGATCAAAGAGCCCAAACCAGGGCGAGGGAACCACAAAGCAGCACCGAGCCAACATTGAGTCAGTCGCAGTCTGGAACCCAAAACTCACAAAAGTCATTTTATAGCATTCACAAACTTCTGAATATGATCTCACTGCAGGCTGAGACACCTAAATCATAACAGTGGAAAAAAGAAGAGATGTGATTGGCCCTGACCTGGGTTGACCTGCGACGTGACGGCTCCAAACAGGAAGTGGAGGATGAGCAGGAGGAGGTGAACATTCCACAGGCGCTTCATCCCAACACATGCACAAAGATGGGCTTCCAATCTGAAAGACAATAACACAACAGGTTACACAGATCTGCCATGCATGCATGGTTTAATAAATAGAAGGTGGGATCAGTGATGAAGAGGTCGGTACACGTGCTGCATGGGGAGTGGGAACCGAACAGAAGTTTGGATATACGAGAAGAGGAGGGAGTTTAATTAGAAGCATGTTTTTATTTCTTTCAATAAAAGACACAAGCGACTGGAACTTCCATTGATGTAGTGCTTCATCAAACTATGAGAAAAAGAGCTGTAAAACAAGGATCTGTTACATAATGCACTTTTTAATTGTAGGAACGAATGATGCATGAGCTAGTGAGGGGACGAATGATGGAGGAAGTGGAGAAGGAGACGTCGAGGCACAGAGTCACAGACATGACTTCAGCTGGAACGACGCAGCGCCAACCGGTCACCTCTAACAGACTACCTCCTACAGACCGCCTCCGACCGGCCACCTCTAACCAGTCGCCTTCAACCAAAGACCTCCAACCAGTCGCCTCCAATAAGCTGCCTTAAACCGACCGCTTACAAACAAGCCTCCAATTGACCATCGCCTCCAACCAACGGCTTCCAACCAACTGTCTCTCAAGCTAGCTTAGCAAAAGTACTGTACATGGTCCATTCTAATTTAAAGCAATAATGACCACATTTTATTCTACACCTAAAAACTCAACATGACCTCTTAAAGGAACAACACATTTATTGATTTATTGCTTTGGTAAATGTAGCCTGTTTTAAAATAACCCCCCCCCTTCTTAAAATGATATGAGAGAAGAAGAAAAGGAGGAACAAGACCTTGTTAATAAACTTATTTAAGTCAGCTCCAAAGGCTGATGAGAGCCAGACAGAGGGAGCTAATGTTAGCCAGGAGGCTAGCACTTACAGTACTGATCGAATGTGCATACATTGATTTAAATTACATCCTGGGAGGGTCCATTCCCTGGGCCTTTGCAGGGGCCCAACCATTTCTACAGGCAGGCCTGTCTCCAAGCAGCCGCCTCCAAACGACCGCTCAATCAGAAAACAGTAAACAAGTGGTCTCTGCACACATTTCACTGTCATGTGTGTCCACTTAACATGAGAGTTTGAAAAGATCAATACATCCATCCTCCTTTCCTAACTTCCTATTGAAGGAAGATGTTTATTTTTTCACAATGAGGCGAAGACGTGTTCATTCAGTTTCACGCCTGAAAAGCTTTTAACCACATTAAGTTTCCACTAAACGTGAAGTAGATCTCATGAGTCATGACCGAGCTGACTGCTTGGAGAACCCTGTTTGACCTTTTTTTTTTTTTTACTGCTGCTTAAAGTCCCCGTTATATAACCGAGGTTAGTTTTATTGTTCACACCATGTTCAGTGCGTCACATGTCATAAAGTCGTGCGAGACAGTGTAATGTCAGCAAAGACAAAGATATGGAAAGGGAGTCAGATTTTTTTTTCAGCCCAATTCATCGTGGACAGAAAACAGTCTTTCTGCTAGAACTCATAAATAATAAAAAGTATCACAGAGGCAGGCTTATCTAAGGCCAATTACGCATGACACAAAACAAGACTACCAGAGCACTGTGGGAATTTTTAAAAGTGCTAGGTGTGTGTGTGTGTCAGACATTTCCTAGTCTCCATTCAGGCCAAAAACAACATTTTCCTGACGTTCCCCTCTAAAATAACAGCGAGACCTGCAGCATGCTGTTTGGGGCTGCAGTCTTCATGGTCTGGTCACTAGGAAGAGTCCGCTCTTTACTTCACATACACTCTTCAATCAATGTCAATGGCGTCTGTAAGCACCCTAATGTAGCATGTTGTTGTTGCTCATATTAAACAGGGGATCTCCACCAGCAGTCTGCTAACTCTCCACTCTGTCCAACAAATGTGAAGTCCAGGTTCTGCCGGTGGGAACATGTCATGCCCAAATTTCCTGAGATTTCCACATAGCTGCTACACAATGGTCAGATATTTGGGTAAGGGTTAGAGCTTTCTTTCCTGAGCTGTGAATGAAAGCTGATTCTAAAAAGTTGATTTCTTAAGAATAAAAAGCCAAATGATGAAGCAAACTTTAGAGCAGTCCTGAAATTAAATGTACATAAAGCTACTTTGAGATAGTTTTATTTTGTGTGGCTCTTAAAGACCACGTGAGCAGTGGCCTAGACAGACTTTTTGTGACTGGGGGGGGGGCTGAACCGGGCCTCCGACTTCTGCAGGGGTGGTCATAACTGTTAGGAACACATACATTCACAGAAATGACCACCAAACTTATGATATTTTTCAACCAATCAGAAGATAAACTGAGGACCTCAGACTGTACCAAAACACATGACAGACCAAAAAGATGGAACAAAACCAATATTCAAAACGCCATTTTCTTTCCAGGCACACACTCATGATCCATCAAAAAACGGCTCCCTATGTCCAAAGTCAATATTTAAAATGCTGACCAAATTAAATGGGCTAAACTGAAATGCAAAGGAAGCTACCTGTTGCAACACAAACATCCAATATACCAGTTAATGTGACCAAAAGTCCCGTCTCTGACAATCATAGTTCAAGTCTTTGGGGTGTTTTTTTTCTAGGTGGATTTCAAAGGTAGCCCTGGACACCCCCTGGCTCCGCCCCTGCACAAATAGACAAAAAATGTTCCTCTATTTATGTGATAACAGGTTTTTGTCACAAATAATCTCCCCCTGCTTCATTTCAGCAACTGTTCATGTCTCTCTCTGTCAATCTTAGCTGTGGAGAGTGTAAACAAGGGCTGTCTTTGCAGTGTGCACATCATCACATGGTCTGACAATGACCTGGTGGCAGGCATACAAAAAAAATAGAAATAAATATGTAGAAATAATAACTTGCTTTTAAGCCCATGTAGAAACAACATTTGTTTAAGTCTGTTTTGTAGTTCACCAATTAAAATCTCCTCTTCTCCACTGAATCCCCCTTTTCCACCAAACCAGTTCCAGGGCTGGTTCTGAACTTGAGAAACTGATCAGATCTGCCCCCAGAAATAAGAGTAATACCGTTAGACACTTCTGCGAGGTCCATGCAAATTGTGGAAGGGACAACCAGCTGACTGGGTCACTGAACTCTGCAACAGTTATCCATGTGTTGGAAGCGATGGAGGCTACAGATGTCCTCTGTTACTGGTGAGTTTAGTTTTTCAAGTGTTTCAGGCCAGCTATTAATTTACAGCTACCAGTTTCTGTATTAATGGTATGGAGGTAATGTTTTTGAGGCCTCACTGACCCGACCTGCCTCTTTCATTGTGCATTCACACATCATCTTATCGCCATTTCCTGGAGTGTGGGGTTACTGCCACTTCCCTCTGAGACCCCTTCACTAAGCCTAACTTCTTTTAGCTTTTCATAGCTAATGAAACACAAACACCTGATGGCGTGTGTGCATTTGGAAGTCAAAAATGTGTTTACTATGTGCAGGGAAAACGTTCATGTAAAGGCTGCCTATGCTGTATAGAAGAGACCTTGTACCGATGAGTTTTCAGGTTTGAAACCATTTACTGACTTTTTACATCACTGCTCAAACATTTTTCATATAATATCACTCTCTCAGTCTTCAACAGAGAGAAAAGAGAGAAAGAGAGAAAAGTAAAGAGAGAAATAACAAATGGATTAAAGGACCAGTCAGTAATAAAAGTCAGATAAATCAGATGAAGTGAGCTTACTATATGATCAGACATTAAGGAAACATGCTACGTTGAAGTGCTGGCTTCTCTGACAACAATGCAGCAGCCAGTATGTCCTCCTTCTAACTTTAGATTCTGGTCCTGAATGCTCTGGATTTGTTTGGACCAGAGAAGGTCGGTGCTTTTAAGACACCCCCCACACGGGCGTTTTGGATGCCCCTCGGTTTGCCAGATATGAGAGCAGTTATCGGGTCAAACCAACAGGTGTTGCAGCGATGGAAGCGGGCAAGAGAAGTGGTTCAGATAGAAACAGAGACAGCTCTCTACAATGTTTAGAATTTAGACACTAGGGGTCAGAGTTACATACTGCTCCTTTAATTATAATAAGATCTTACATAAATATGCAGAGGGAAAAGTCCTATAGTTTTCTGGCTATATTGATTGTTCACTGACAGGTGAAAATATCATGTTCTCCTAAAATTAAACTTGTCATTCAGCTGAAAGTTTCATGCATCATTGTTCTTTATGTATTTCATTTATTGGTTGTATGTTGTAATGTTGTAGTACTCGAAATTGGTCTTGGTCTCAAGACCAATTTTCAAAGGTCTCAGAATTTACAGCATTTTTACTTGGTCTTGTCTCAGTCTCAGACTGGGTGGACTCCAGATTTTAAATCAAGACTGGTCAAGACCACCACTGACAGGTTATTTCTCCACATCTTCATTGTTCTAAAAGAACAAATAACTTTGATTCATTTGTAGTTTTATCCCCCGGTGATTGCTGCAACCTTCCAGGTGTTAAGGTAAGGAGTGACATGCCCACTGCACACCAGATGGTGATTTTCAGTGATGTTTATGGTCTTGGTCTTGTCTCGGTCTCGGAGCACTCTGGTCCCGGGTATGTCTTGGTCTCGGTTGATGTGGTCTTGACTACAACACTAGTATTTTGTCACTCGCCCTCATGTTGCTGCACTTCCTGCCTTTGTGTGGTTTCCCTCTCTTGTGATGGAGTGCCCCGCCTTCATTGTGTTCACCTGTGTGTGATTAGCCCGTGTGTATTTAACGTCCGTATTCCCTCTCTACTAGTTCCTTAAATCAAATCTTTTTTTTCTCTAGCCCTGCTCCTCGTGGTTTGTGAGATTTATGAGTTTCACATTGAAACTTTGTGGATGAAAATGTTTGAGAGGCTGTTAAAATGGTGAAAAGTATTTCCTGCGTATGGGTTGTATTGTTATTGCCTCCTCTGGATCCAGCTGCGTTCTTGATATGAAGAGAACAGCTGTTATTCCGCCGTTGGTTTCTGTTACAGTAACATCCGATCAGTCAGCAGAGCTGGAGACACACTGGCAGGTTAACTGCTCTGGAAAACT